AATTCAAATTAAAAACTATAACTATAAAAGACAAATACTCTAAAAGCGCAAAAGATCAGAACCAAATAAAATGAATAACCATAATAATATAAAAATCACACTAAAATTGCAAAAACTATTACTGTAAAATCATGAGATTACATCAATAATTCATATGCGTCGGAGTATTGCAAATGTTAAAAGTACAGTGTTTCCATGAAAATTTAGCTATGTTTTTAGCAGTATTATAGGACCATTTCTACCACGCGCATCCAACGATATTGGCGTTCCACAGTTCACTGTATTTTCCTCATACCTCTAGTATATATGATTTGACATAACGAAACTAACAATAATTATAATTATTGTAGAATAATAAATGTTTCGTGAATTCAAATAAAATAATTATTATATAAAAGTGTAAAAGGAAATGTAATTTATTTCCCTATTTTCTTCTGTAATATCTTCAATTATTATGTTTTATTTCTATAAATAAACCAACTGGTTGGGTGAAATATTGATATATACATTAGATTTTATTTATGTGTCCTATGCGTACACTTTAATATACAAAACACCTGGAACATTCTTTAAATAATTGTGGTCGTAGAAATAATTGTGTACATAACTCGTTTGAAAGTGTATTTTATGCACTTGCCAAATATATTATCCATACTCACAGATTAATCAGACTATTTTTTTACTTAACTTCAGTATATCTCTTACTACTAAAACTATTTCTATCACTGAAAAAAACGATCCTTCTTTTCGTATGTTCTGATGCATTTTCGGCTTCAACCCATTGGACCCCCTAAAAATATATCCGTATTTGCTGACTGGGAAAATAAATACCGAAAATCGTTACTGTCCCCTTACTATACAGTAGATGATGATGAGGACTTCACAACAAATACACTTATATGAATGGCTAGTTGGGGATGTGAGATATCTAGCCAAGTTATGTATAGTATTTTTATTACAAATCCCTATGCACGTCAGAGATCATTTATGAAGTTACGGCCTTGCAGTGTTGTCTAAAAGTCAGAATAGTTGAGGAATTTAGAAAGTTTTGAAATTGTAAGATTATGTATTTATTTGTTATGTTACTAAGAATATTTAGTTTTAAATGTATATAACTAATGAAAAATATTGAATTCCTTTATGGATAAAATAAACTTCTGAACAAAAAAGCAGTAAACATATTGCAAGAAATGGAAAATAATACTGTAAGGTAGTATATTGCAGATGGATCAAAATTTGTCCAGAATTAGCACAGAAAATATCTTAAACTAATTTCATTTCACCAAGAAAGTCATTTAACAGAACTAAATTTCAATTATAAACCACAACACCCCATAAAATTAAAGAGATCATTGAAAAAATGAAAACTAGAAAGGCATGTGGAGCAGTCATAATATCAGCAGATAGTAAAAACCTATACTTAAATGCTAAAATATTTGAATGCAAGAAGGACATTGTTAAAATATTTTAGTAGGTACTTAAGTAAATCTCACTTTCAGTAACGGTTCTGTATCTCAAGTATTCAAGATAGCCAGAAATGCTTCAAAAATAGACTGATATCGCTGCTTCTTTTCTAAAGTTATTGGAACATGTATAAACAATAGATTCATTACTCAAACATCAATATTCTCCATCCTACCAGTTTCAAAAGACATTTAAAAAAAAAGTCTGAAATTGCTAAAATATTTGAATACAAGAATAAAAATAAGAACATGCTTTCATAAGACTTACAAGAGTTAAGATTTAAGTTGCTTTTTATTCTAAAAGAACGTTATTTCTAGAGCAGGATGATGAAGATCTTCTTTAAGGCTGCGCTATCACGACAAATGGCGGCAATATAAGACATGTAAAATAACACTCTTCTTTCGTGCAAGTTAATTTAAAAAATATATACTTTATCCAAGTTTTCAAAATATTTTATGATTCTGTATGGTACTAACTTTATGATGATACGATTTATATTGCTAGAAAGATTTGGGTAACAAGCTAAATAAAATTTTTATTCAAGACAGGAAAATGTACCAAACAATGTGTCGGGGTAAACAGTTTCGGGAAGATGCCCTCAAAAATTACATTTTTAAAACTACCCAACCCAAAACTACACATCGGTCATATTTTTCGCCGCTCCTCAGTAATTTTGCTAGCCAACTCGGGTGAAGGACTGACTGGCATAAAGCGTTTATGAGGCTGGAAGTTAACAACGGTAGCTGAGGGATATATTGACGACTCAACTACATATAAAAAAGGGTTAAGCAACAAAATTTTAAGCTCTGCTAGCCCAAGAAAACCAGTTCCAATACCAAGTTCGTCAAGTACTGTTGAGTAGCCGTAATTGAACCAGTTGCAGCCCCAGTCAGTGTTGCCAGTCTAGTACAATTGTACCAGATCTAGTACATTATTTAAGAATCTGGTACTCTAGTATACTCGAATCAAAATCTAGTACTTTTTATTTTTTAGCCTGTTTTTATTTGGACGGGTAAAATATATTGTTGAGTACCTTGTTTGTGTTCGTTCTCGATAAAAGCTCTTTTTTTCTCTTCAATGAACCAAACCATCATAATTCGAAAAATATGGTACTATTCATAGAATCTGGTAGATACATTTTTATGGAATCTGATACATTTCTCAGACAAATCTGGTACATAACAAAAATATATTCTGACAACACTGGCCCCAGTTATTTCGTACTCAGTCGAAAGCAAAGATGGTCGTTCCAGTTTTCCAATAAATCGATTTATGCTGCATGGCAGTGCCACAAATTGTACTTTTATTGTAACCAGTAATAGTAATAAGTAGTATTATGCATATCCAAGGATTAACTACTGCAGAAAAAATTTAGACACAAATATGTTAAAAAATATTTTTTTACGGGAGGCGGATACAAAAACGCTCCTAATTTGAAAAACGCCCATATATACCATTTAATATCCCGCAAAGTACGCCTATGGAATGTGACGTTATATCCCCACTTTTACTGAACTCCCATTTCATTCGAATTATAGTAGTTTTTACTGTTATTTCAAATACTAACAAAACTTTTTCTTTAATTTTAATCTATGAGAATCTTGAATACCCTGTATAAATTGGAAATTGTTCTTTTACAATTACCTTTGATTCAGCTATTGAACGTATCTATGTTTTATTAGGATTTGATAAATAAATAATTTTTATAAAATCTAAATAAACCCTCCCCCCGAAACACTACGTCTATGTGCGACGTATGATACCCCTTTTCTCGTCTGGTATATGATGCGGATAATAAGTGTATTGGTTATAATAGCAATAATATAATAATATCAATATTATTATTATTATTATTATTATTATTATTATTATTATTATTATTATTATTATTATTATTATTATTATTATTATTATTATTATTATTATTATTATTATTATTATTATTATTATTATTATTATTATTATTATTATTATTATTATTATTATTATTATTATTATTATTATTATTATTATTATTATTATTATTATTATTATTATTATTATTATTATTATTATTATTATTATTATTATTATTATTATTATTATTATTATTATTATTATTATTATTATTATTATTATTATTATTATTATTATTATTATTATTATTATTATTATTATTATTATTATTATTATTATTATTATTATTATTATTATTATTATTATTATTATTATTATTATTATTATTATTATTATTATTATTATTATTATTATTATTATTATTATTATTATTATTATTATTATTATTATTATTATTATTATTATTATTATTATTATTATTATTATTATTATTATTATTATTATTATTATTATTATTATTATTATTATTATTATTATTATTATTATTATTATTATTATTATTATTATTATTATTATTATTATTATTATTATTATTATTATTATTATTATTATTATTATTATTATTATTATTATTATTATTATTATTATTATTATTATTATTATTATTATTATTATTATTATTATTATTATTATTATTATTATTATTATTATTATTATTATTATTATTATTATTATTATTATTAATATTATTATTATTACAGTGTTAAGGGCGAGTCTATCTTAGATTATTTTTTTCGTATAACTTTTAACCAATTAGAACGTTCAATTTAGTTAAGTTACCTCGTATAATTTCGATAATACCTGATTATACATAGAGTAGCTCCACCAATCAAAAATATTTACAATAATTTCATTTCCGTAGTAACCACATCGACAACAATACACTAACAGGACCGTCAAATTTTGACGTTTATCAATAATTAATAATTGTAATTTTCATTGTACCAATATGTATTTAAATTAATAAATTGTTGATATTTACTTAATTTACTCAAAAAATAATCGTATCAAATACAATACGTACTTCAAAATAAATACGGTTATACATCTCAAACTTCCTGCATAATTACAAATCGTGTCAGTTTGACAGAATTTAAACTGTCAAACTGACACTCTTTATAATTATGCAACAAGTTATCGATGTATAACCTGATTATTTTGAAGTACTTATAGTATTACTACTGATAATATCATGTCTATAAAAATCTTGACTCGATACTATGAATAACATCTTTAAATTGAACTTTACCTTTTGGTTCAAAATTCTATTATAAAAAATTAATTGGTTTGACAATACTGTACTGTTTCTAACTTACAGAGCACGAATAACCAATTAGAAATGTCAGTGTCAAACAAATTGCAGGAAACCAAAGCCTTCTTTGTTGAGTAGTATAGGATTTCTATTCATCAATTTGTTTTAAAATAAATGTCTACAAAACTAGTAATACTACCTAAATAGTTTATTTGTTAATTAGGTAGTGGTAGCCTCATAACAGATCCTTTAATAATATATAAACAACAATTAATTGCAATATTCTCTTACAAAACACGAATCTACCGCCTTGGTATTGTTAACAACAATATTACTACAGTATGGTTCGTTTCTTTGATCGAAGTCAGTCACTTATCAGAACATGTTGTGTGCAGTTGTCGAACTATATACAGTGCGACCATTACATCTAGCGAATTAAAATTGGAAAGTAATAGTTAAACTTGACACGAATTTCAGTTGAAAATGATGCAATTCGATTAAATTTATGTGATATGTGCGAATTCAATTAAATGTCATTGGTGAATTATTATTCGTATTTAAAACCACTGGAAAATTTAAAGTTCCAATATTTCTGTGATATATTTTTGTAAGTAATTGTGCGGTATTAGTTTTTGTGGCTGTGATTTATTTTTAGTTTGCTTGACAATTTTTTTATGTGACAATGGAATCGAAAAAGATAAAGGTAAAATTACTATCTATAATTTTGGTTTTAATTTAATATTTTTTTTTTTTTAGTCTGCGTCAATATTTTTATTTTCAAAATGTTTTGCTTGTAATATTCGTTTGTATATTTATTTAATTTATCTATCTGATTTTTCGTAAAATACTTTAAACTTTAAAGATAAGGAAATTATAGGAATTACGATTTTTACGAACTTTCTATGGATTTTTTGAAATTGAATTTTGAAGATTACTCAAAAACAGATAAAGAGAAAAATACCAAATTTTAAAGTTAAGCTTTATTCCGTCCTGCGGTGAGCTGATTAGATTTTGGGTAGAGTCCAAATATCTGGGGGGTACTTTATAGGGTGTCAGTTTTCTACTTTATAAAATATATTTATTTACGCTTGGAGAAAAAATTCTTTAAATAAAAATTTTTTGCAATGTTATTCTCTATAATTTTTGTCCTATACATAATTTTCCTAAACTGGTCCGTATTCGAAAAATTTGACAAAAATGACAAAATTTTCATTTTTAAGAAAATCCTCGAGAAAATCGTTTAAATAAAAGTTATTTGTAAAATCATTCTCTTTAATTTTTCTGTTTTATTCGAGATATTTGACAAAAAATGCAAATTTTGAAGATAACTCCAAAATAAAACAAGTTTTGAATTTAAGGTTTAATCCATCCTGTCGTAAACTGATTGAATTTTGGATATAGTCGGAACATCTGGAATATATCTGTTAGTTACGCTTGGAAAAGAAAATTATTCAAATAAAAGTTGCTTGTAATGTTATTCTCTATAATTTTTTTGCATAAAATATTTTTCTAAAACAGACCGTAATGGAAAAATTTGAAGAAAACTGTAAAATTTAATTTTTTTATTATTTACGTTAGCAATAAATATATATAAAAAATGCTTCGAGTGAGATATGTGTGAAAAATGTATGTATTTAGTTCATCCTCTAAACATTTACAGGGGTGATACAATAGGATATACAAAATAACCGGAAAAAACCTGTAAAAATTAAACAGAAAAGTAATGTGTTAAACACATCAGATTTTTATATAAAATATAAAATTTTCTAACAATAAACTGTTCGTGGTCTTTTGGTTTCTGTTGTTTGAATGTAAACCAAGCATTGATGTAAATCTTCCCATTCATCAACCCTTAATTTCCAAAGTTCATCTCTGCGATATGCACCCGTCAAAACAAAGGCTAAAACAACCCGCAACAAGTAATTTTTGTGGTTATTTAAATATATTTTTAGTGTCTTTCTTCAAAATATAAAGTTTTTTGTAGTGTAGGTTTCATTTTGTTTTTAAGTATGCCTCGTCTATTTGGAAATGTCAGTGTTGTATTTCATGTTTACAGTGCTTTTTATCATAAGACCACAATTATGTTTACAACAGTGGCGGCTCGTAATAATTTAAAATGGATGTTCACTTTTTACAATAATTTTATAAGTTTTTATAAGTTCGGTTCTAAACTTTGTATAAGAGCCAATATCGCTGTTTTTTTTATTATTTAAGTTTGTATTAAGTGTAGTTATCATTATCAACATCAACATCATACTGTTTTCAAGCACTATTAATGAATGAATAAATGAATATTTTAGTTATTGTAATATTTGTTTTGTTTTTAATATATTGAAAACCATCTAAACATTATTAGTTAGTCAACTGACTTTTTTCATAATTTGAGATTATTTTTAAATATACATATAAGTACTTAAGTTGGAACCATATGCAAAAAAAAATTATTATTGAATTTAAGAAAAAAAGTTATTTCTTAAAAACTTAAAATACAGTCATCAGATATCAAATTTTTCAAGCCGTCTACGAATAGAAGTTTGTCAAAAAATATGAATTTTACACAAGAGTAAAATACGTTTATTTTTGACAAAATCGAAAATTTTCATTAAGAAAATTGCTAAATTCTTCACAAACATCAAGAAAATGAAAGCGAATCATGTTTATAGTAGAGAAGAAAGAGAAAAAAGTATGGATTACCGTAATTAGGTGGATCAATGCAAAATCTAGAAAAAATCTGATTTTTCAGATAGATCGGTGTAATTGCATTTTTGAACGTAATTTTCAATTCTAATCAACTTTTCATCATAAAAATTTTCGATTTTGTCAAAAATAAACGTACTTTATTATTGAACAAAATTCATATTTTTTGACAAACCTGTATACGGCTTGAAAAATTTGATATCTGATGACTGTATTTTAAGTTTTGGATGATGCAGGACTTTTTATCAAGAATAACATTTTTTTCCTAAAACCAATAATAATGTTTTTCCATATGGTTCTAACTTAAGTAGACACTGTATATCAGGCAGAGCTGGGACGAATCCTCGAAAAATGGATTCGAATCACGAATCCGAATCACGAGATGTGATTCGAATCACGGATCCAATGTTCGAATCCTTTTTTTCGGATCACGGATATGAATCACTGTCAGTGTTATACTGTGATATTAATTATATTTGCTTTCGAATCTAATACTGTTTTATACCTCGGTCCTAAAATATTTAACGCACTTCCGGTGGAATCTAAAAACCTAAATTCGATAGTTCTTTATAGATCTAAATTGCAACAATGGATATTAACTAAACAAGGACAAATATTTTAAGATTTTATTAATTTAAATATAACTAAAATCTAAAATCATTTAGCTAAAAAGAACTTTACTTATTTACAATTATCCAATTATTTATGTATATGATAATTATTTCCTAATTTTATCATAGAAAATTATTTCCCCGTATATAGCTTTGCGCCCAAACAAAACATTTTAAACTGCGTTTTTCTCGAAATAATGTTTTCTGGGGTCTTTCATAGGACGGCAGCCCAGAGGTACCCCCTTACTAACAAAAAAAGAATCATATGAATCGGACAAGGTGGTAAAGCATTATCGCTAAACATTCATAAAAAATGAAGAGTTTGAGGATTTTGTCATGGACCCATTAATTAGATTTTGACCAAATTTATATGGAACTACCCCTGAAGTACCCCCTTTCTAACAAAAAAAGAATAATTGAAATCGGACACCGTGTTAAAGAATTATCGCTGAACATACATAAAAAAAATTTTGCGACGAATTGAGAACCTCTTCCTTTTTTGATTTGTTAATTCTGTAATCGTGCACATCGCCAAATACATCGGTTTTCTATTCAGTCTCAGTCTGTTTTAGTTTTTAGTTTACAATTCGCGACAAGTCAAAGCTTGAGTCGGCCGTTCGCGCCGGCGTAGTTTGGTCTCTAAAAGGATCCGAGATTGATATTGATGATTCGAATACGAATCCTTTAGGATTTTCTCTGCGAATCCGGATCACGGATCCTTTTTTTCTAAAGTATTCGAATCTCGCTCTCGGGTCCTCAAAAAGGATTCGAATCCTGGATTCGAATCCTATGTGATTCGAATCCTCCCCAGCTCTGATATCAGGTTATGTAGAAAGCTTGACATTGATTTTTGTGTAAAAAATATTAATATATAAAACTTTACCTACTATTTTTCAGTTTTAATTGTAAATCTAATCATTTTCACAATTTGTCACACGTCACACATGTCAAATAAAATAATATATTTTTTAAATACCTTTTATTGACAAATAAAAAAAGTTAACTTAAATGTTTTAAATGTTTACGAGTATTTTATATGAGCAATCCCTTAACAATACATAATATTAAGCAGATACAAACTAGAGAAAATATATGTAATGCGTGGTATTTTAAATTATACTCTTGGCAGTTTAACAGACCCCCTTAACCCCCATTTTTAACCAGTTTGTTTTCACAATCAATAAACTTCATCTCCTTATAGAGCTTGATTTTTGCTAAAAATTTAATCTTGATAACGCTTTTCATTTTTAATTTATTTATTTTTTAATTTCAACCCCCCCCCCTAAATCACCCATTTTTTTCAGATTTTTTTATAATCAAAGGGATTCTTCTCCTTTTAGAGCTTGATGTTTGCTAAAAATTTCAGGTTGATATTATTTTTCGTTTTTTTTTTTTAATATTTTAACTCCCCAAATTATTCTGATTTTTTTCAGTGTCAATAGGCTTTATCTTTTTATAGAGCTCATTTTTACTAAAAAGTTCATGTTGAAATCGCATTTCGTTTTTAATTTAGGATTTTTTTTTAATTTCAACCCATCTTAGCCCCCTATTTTTAATCAGATTTGTTCAAAATCAATAGGCTTAATTTTTGCTTAAAAGTTAATATAATTTTTCGTTTTTGACTTATTGTGCAGACAAAAACGTGTCGTCGGACAGACGGACAAAGTAAACCTATAATACTCTTCATAGACTACTATGTGAAAAGTAGAAGAAAAAAAATGTATAAGGTAAAATAAACAGTTTAAAGAGGTCAAAAATAATAATCTACTTCTTTTACCAAAGGTACTAAAAGTTTGAAATAGCACAATTGAAAATTTACAGAAATCTGTGAATTATAATAGTCAGATACACATTGTAAAATGTTATCACACTTAATTCTCCATATAACCCTTTCTATGTATATTTCACAGCACATTCCAAAGTATTCTTGCCCTGGCCATTATCCTACCCTCATTGCTGACTTTTGCATGTCCATGTTTACTAAAAAATAATGTGTTTTAATAAATAACAGAATAATAGTAATTTTGTCTAAATAGGTAACTCTACTTCAGTTTTATATATATTTTACACATAAACACTGCTGCACGCCTAAGAAGAAAAAGTAATAGATTTTGCTTCGAGTGTCCCAGAGTACCAGATTCTTTGAGAATGTACTAAGTACAATTTTGAATTGTACTAGACTGACAACACTGGTTTGGCAAGGTTCGTATGCCCTAGTTACGTTGTTTACGAGCGGCGTGCCAAGAAATGTGTTCTTATTAAAGGTATGTTTATATCTGATATTTATTGCATAAGATTTATGTCTGACAGTTGTTTAGTCCAGTGTAAACACTCAAACATATATCTCCGAGAGAAATTTTTGTTTGTTTACACTGGACACGTACTTTGATTTTCT